AGCAAATTTGGACTCATGTGAACAACAAAATACCCAAAAAAACAAACGAAAAAGATTCAACAAAAGAACACCCGGAGGAGTTACCTAGCTTTCGTTCAGAAACTAACACCACAAAGATTAGCAGATAAAATCGAGTCATTCGGTCAAGTTGCAAAAACAACTATCGACTTCCATTAACTAAAATATCTGGACCCCCACTGGCTCCATTTTATATTTTGTTTTGTTCAACTATTCCTGTTACTACGTGATAGGTTGCCTACTTCGAACCCAGGTCATCGACTGGCAGAGCATACTTATTTTAGAAGAGAACTGAATATTTTGAGGTCGCTTCATGTGCACCAGCAGAGTTATAAGTGGCGTCGATTCCAAGGAGGGCCGTTTTCATTTCATCCATGCGGTACAATAAAACTTCCTGTGTCGAGATCCTTACGGCCGTTGGATAACAGTTGTTTTCTTGCTGGACATTAGGTTGGCCCTCTCCAGTCTATTGACGCTCGATAGATCCATCGTACTCCGCTCGTCCCAAGAGGGGTTAGTTTGTAACTTCGCAGACAGTGCCTGTGCCAAACGGCTTGACAGAGGAGTGATTCCTCATAGGACCCAAATTCAAGGGGAGTTCGTCAATCACTTACAAAGAGCGGCAGATAAAGATAGTAGTCGTAATACTCTCTCGTAGGTAATCAATTTGCGAGATAGGGTGTCCCCTCACGCCTGAAGTTATTATCACAGCATGGTTTTCAATTGCTTATTTGTCAAATCCCTGGACCTGCTTACCCCACAGTTGCCCTTCGTTGGTGACCATTCGCCTATTAGCCGCTTTTGGACCTGCCGAGTAGCCCGAAAGTTGGCTCATAGGCGGGCCCAGGGTTTCCACCATTCCGGTCGGATTCCGCTTTTATGAATGTTCGCTTCACTAACGACTGGTCGCTTTGTCTCCGGTGCGTCAGTTTGTTTACCATATCACATTTTGCCGTCATTCGCAAAGATTTTAAGTCATTGTGCTATATGCATTCGCTGGATTTCATCTTATTATCATTTGCCGGGCCACCTCTTTCTGCTAAACAGCTTATCTAACGGGCATACGGCCCTTATTTGGGCCTACTGTCAATACAATGGATTCAGGTGCGTTAATAAGTGTTGGGAATGCGCCCAGTCCCATGATTAATAATCTCACAGAAAGTTCCACGAGCTCATCTTACGCAGCTATCATGAGAGCGCGATGTGACTATCGATTTTTCCTCCTATCTGATTGGCCCATTCACTCACCTATGTCCCTCCCGTTCCCCCCTAAATACATTCAGCCTTTGCGTAAAAATGACTTGCGCTGACTTGCTGTAACGTACTTGTCTGAGTAAATGCACTCTCTGTCTGGCCGACTGGTCTTCTCTCTCTTACGGGCTCTTGGGAATCGGTTCGTGCTGATTAAAAGTACGAGGTGCGGGTGGTAGTAGTAAGTGAGAAGTCGTTGGACGGAAGGTGGATATCCCTGAAGTTACAATGAACTTTGCACTGTCACAGACATAAAAACACAAACAGGATTTTGACGAGATTGTAAGCACCATACTGTCTGAAAATGACAGATGCAGGTAGGACAGGGAAATATTGAACCCACGTATCGCAGGTGACATTGCGCTCAATTCCGGCTGTGGTTAAAGTGAGGCTTAGGGCTATGGTTGGTGGTATAAGGGTTGGAGCAAGTTTTCACGTTACGTCAGTTCTAATTTCAAAATATTGGCAACAGTGGCTTATGTAGCCCCACTCATTAATCCCTAAAAACTGTATGTTTTTCTACGAAAACGGTGATTATCGGGTTTTGTGGGCGGGGAATTAGGACGCGCAGTGGAATATACTTTAATAAATGCTAAATGCATTTTTATTTTACTGTATTTAGAAGTGTTGTTGATTTATATCTATAGATTTTCCTAATCTTTATTATCATTTAACTTATTGCGGAAAAACTCGATTATCAAATTGCAGGTTTC